GTGAATATGGGTTGAATACAGGCAGAATAATTTGGTGCGCAGAAGGAATGCGCATTGTGACTTAAAAATAATCACAAATAGGGGGTTGTCAGTAAGCTTGATAATCATGACTTCACCGTGTTAAGTGGTCGCACAAAAACTACACGCGGGGGGTTGCGACCAAACCCCGCGAACACTTTTTGTGACGAACCCAATGTAGATTCAGTACCAGAATCTACATAGGAAGCTAATCGGAACGCTGGAAATCTAGTGCATTCGCATGATAATCTTTAATCTTATAATTCTAATTTCATACACACTTAAAACACTTAAGAGTACACGTATACCGTGCACATGCCAAACTTATCAACTGGCACAAGTTCAGAATAGTTCTAATTCAAGTGGAATAAGTCCTCCGAGCCACGTCTCCGTACAATCCAATAGCCGAAAGTCCAGTTTCATGGACTTAATCATCATAAGTGAAGAAAGAGGCCTTCTTTGCATTACCTCCAACACCATCCACTCACTCACCAAAAGAGAGTCTTGAATTGTTTGGCCTTGATAATGAAGACGGCCTTAAGAATCCAATGTTGGATACCTTGAGAGCTCTGAATCCAGATTTGCTTCCAGCTGCCATACTTGTTTGCAAAACAATCCAGAATTTACCAGTGATGAAGGCATTCAAAGTCCTTTTGGATAGTGGAAGCATTATGTGCTTGATTCATGAACATTGATTTCCACCAGGAACAGTCCCCTTCATGGACGATATACTTGGCTCAGTCACCACAACAGCTCAAGGAAGATTCAACACCTCCAGATATGTGTTCATATCTCAAATACAATTGCCAGAGTTTAGCAATGGTAAATTCATCAAAGGGACCAATGCAAGACTCTTTTCAGCTCCTTGCAATTATGATATGATTCTTGGAAGAGACTTCCTCCAAATGACTGAAATAGATCTTTTCTTCTCCAAACACACCATCCAATGGCTAGATTCAACCATAGAGATGAAGCCACCAGATCATTTCAATGATCCCCAGCAAGTGGCAGAGGTCATGCCACTAGCAGAAGATGAAGAATTACTTGATGGAGGTTTCCTATAGTTTCATCTACTCCCCTGTGACAACAAGACTGCAGATGTGCAGCCAGATTGGACAGTTACTTGTTAGCAGCAAATACTGCCAGAGCTACTGGAACAGAGCTCCATAGAATCCTGGATGCAAAATACCAGGGAGTCACTCCGGAAGAGGTTGCAAACCACCAGGAGCATATGACCAAATCAGAAAGACTAGCATTCAAGGAGATGCTAGCCAAACACCACAGGGAGGTGTTTGACGGGAAGCTTGGCAGATACCCTCATGCTTACTGACAACCCCCTATTTGTGCTTATTTTTGTGTCACAATGCCCATTTGCTCTGCGCACCAAATTTATTCTGCCGGTATTCAACCCATACTAGCTCATCCTCCACTCCATATTTTTACTTTGGGGGGTTGCGATACACAACCTCAAGTGTTAAGATGTCAGTAACCTCCAACCAGGACTCGTGGAGGGAATAAGCAAGATGTACACACATAAATAGTATTACTTTCAAATAAACTTGTTGTAATCACTATTGTGTGACAATGATTCCCCTATTCTATAGTTTGAATTTATGTAATGCCTGTGGCCATCCCTAGCTTCCTGATGAGAAATTACACAACTAACCATATTACTACTATGTTTGATGAATGAATTCTACAAATGCTTTTATGGAATACTAAGCTTCTTCCACAACACTCCCCACCACTCCTGCAATTAAATCATCCCTGGCACACTGTACTGATGTATCAGTTAGGTTTCTGGTGAACTGTTCACAAACATAAATGTCATCCATCATGGTAACGTCAACCCTTGGTTCCGAGTTCGTTGGTAGTACAGCTCTACCATTCTTCCTTCTACTTTCTTCCCTAAACTGTTCTCTCATCTGCTTCTCAAACACCTCTCCTGTTTGAGGGTCCTGTCAAAGTTCCTTAATCTTGGCACACAAATTTTGGTACAGTACCTTCCCCTCTTGAGCCCACCCGATTCTCCTACCACTTTTTGCATTGCAGAATCTTTTTTGCTCCAACTGGATCATCAGAGGACAATTATTTTGTCAGCACCTACCACGTCATTTTCTTCTGGCATAACTGTGAATGTTGTGTTGTATTCTGTTGAGCACTTGCGGTAAAAGGGTGTTCTCCAAGTACAGACAAAGTTTGTTGTCTCCACTGAACCCCTAGCAGCTGCTAACCCATCCTTCCTTGATGGCCTGCTGACACACATGTTTGTTGATCTTTTCGTTCATCAAAATTTCATGTCCCCAAAGAACTTGGATTCAACGTACCCTTGAAAATTTCTGGACAGCAATTGCTTGTTCAATGGAGATATTTTTTCACCCGGGGACCACTGCAACCACAACTGTACTATGACCTGTTTTTTTTTCTTTTTTGACTCCCTTGTAATCCTTTCCTTTCCTTTTTCAATCAACAACCTTTTCAATTCTTTGTTTCACTGACACGACTTCCATTGTCAAGGCACTTATCAGTGCTTGAGCCTTTTGCCAGCTTATTACTACTAATAGTACTATAGCTCCTATGTTTATTTACCTGTTTTGTTTCTGAATCCAAATCCCTTTCTCTCTGTCTCATTGACCTGTTTTTTTCCTTTGGTTGTTGTTGTTTACTGGTCATTTTGTTTACCAAAGCTCCATTTGTCCCAAATGAGTGGTTTTCATCTGACTTTTCATGATATGTTGTTTTTCTGAGTGAATTGGTTGGTGGATTTACCACCAGCTTCAAATGTTTTGACTGTTATTTCCTGGAATACTGATTTGCTCCGCATTGAACTTACACTCCATCAACCCCTGGAGGGGGGGGAAGGGGTTGAGTTTTGACAGTTATTTCCCCTGAATACTGATTCACTCCACATTGAACTTACATTCCATCCTGACAGTTATTTTCCTGGAATACTAATTCATTGCTCTGCATCAATCTTTCATCCCCCCCCTGGGGAAGGTGCTCAGTTTATTGGGTTGAGGTGGCTGGTTTTGATTATTTCTACATTTATTTTCCCCAAATTCTGGTCCCTATTACCAAACTTCAGCTCAGTTCCATAATCTTCTGATTAGCAAAACCAAATATAGCAATAGAAAAGACTTACTAGTACATCACATTGAACTTTACACACCTCAAGGTGACAGGGTTGGATGCCCCAAACTAGCCAAGCTTGAACAACACCAAGCGGCTTTCCCCTTCATTGAGTGGTTTGGGTTTGTTGTCAGAATTGGCAAAATAGTACTAAATCTGGTACCACAACCACTTTTCATGGAATTTCTCACCAACCTCTTGACAAGTTGTCATAAAAAGTTGATATGGTTTAGGAACATGGATGAGGGGTAGATTAATGTGCATTGGTCACACTAATTCAATCTTTTGGTGGTTCTGTGGGTTGGGTTTGGTGTCATAATTAGCAAAATAGTAGTAAATCTGGTACCACGACCACTTTTCATGGAATTTCTCACCAACCCCTTGACAAGTTGTCATAAAAAGTTGATATGGTTTAGGAATGTGGATGAGGGGTAGATAAATGTGCATTGGTCACACTAGTAATTCAATCTTTTGGTGGTTCTGTGGGTTGGGTTTGGGTTGGGGTTTGTTGTACATAGTGAAGGGTGTATGGTGTATTTATCGACGCTTGGGTGTCTTTCACGTGATAGTGTGGTTAGTAAGTACTACTGTGCACAAAAGATTGTGTACTGAATTGTTTTAGTAGTAGTAGTATTTTGATTGTTATCTAATTGGGATTGTGAGACTAAACTAATGATTAAACTGAATTGCTCAAAGGATTCACCACTACACGATTCCTTGTGTTGTGCTGATCCTTTTGAGTTCCTTTGAACTAGGACCGATAGTAGAAATATACTTCTGACTCGTTGCACAATACTATGAGTTTCGTAACAATTGAAACCGGACTCCGCCAGAGAGCAATAAGTAAYAATTTCAAGTTCTAAACTTTGATTTGAAGTTATTAACTTTTGCTTGTACATCATGTACCAGGTTCTACTGAGCTTGTTTTTAAAATGACTGAATCATGACCGAATCAATTCCCCTCAAAACAAAACAAAATGGTTCGACGAGGTGATTCAATTATGAATCCTGGCCTTTCAATCATGAATGACATCCAAAAACTAGCTCAGTAGAACCTGGTAGACTTTCTACCGGGACATTTTGAAGTTCATAACTTCAAATCAAAGTTTAGAACTTGAAATTATTACTTTTTGCTCTCTGGCGGAGTCCTGTTTCAATTGTTACGAAACTCGTAGTACCATATTCATAATATGTACAATATGTACAACTAGTACCAATAGTAACACCGATATATGATCCGTTGCGTTTTTTTTTTTTCATCTCCATTTTGCCAGGCCATGGCGGGGAAAAAAATGGCATTCCGCACCGATGCCTACCGGTACGATAACGATGCCGAAGGGAGAAAGACATGACAATAATATTATGCAAAATATTGCATCTGTTTACGATAGAACAAGACCTCATTGAACGAAAGGGAGAATCGTTGTAAAATGAAGTTACCAACAACCAGGGCAGCCATACATGGCATAGCTCTGCACTCGGTTGTTTTTGTCACAATCTGTTACAACTTGCTATGGCTGCTGAACTACGGTGCGAGGGACGCCGGAGATGCCGACCAGAAACTGAGCGTCGAATTAAGAAAGGACCGAGTGAGATGGCCCGTGACGTCGATTGAAGAGAGCCACCATCGCGGTTCGCGGGGCCAAAACATTGCCGTGGTTCACATGGGGCCACAAAAAACGGGTTCAACGTCCATCCAGTCAGCGTCTGCTTTGTATGCGGATCAACTCAAGGAAGACGGTTACGAAATGCCGTGGCCGAAATACCCCCGTAAGGATGTGATGCATTACCCAAATATCGACCAAAACGTGGCTCGTTTCGCAACCTGTTTCTTGCCACCCCCAAAACGAGAAGAYCGGTATGCTTGCATCCAGGAATTGCTGTTCTCCAGCGCTCAAATTGCAGAGCGAGGGAACAATCTTTTRATATCTGCCGAGCACTTTGATGGCATAGACGCGACAGGTCTCGACGCCCTGTCGTCATTTCTGTCGTACTGGGACTCARCGACCGTCATCATCTATTACCGCCGCTTGTACGATTGGATTCATTCGTTTTACAATCAGCACGTGAAATTTAGAACGTTCGACGATTTCGGTCTGAGTGGACCGCGCTTGCGAAAGTGGGAATTCACCTTTCACCATTATCTCRAAGAACATTGGTTGGTCACTGTTCCGCCGGAGTATAGCGCGTATGTAATCTCTAGGGTGAGGGAGCAATACGGGCACGACGATACCAAAAACATCGTTGTCATGGACTTTCACAACAAAGAAGTTGACATAGCAGAGGCCTTCTTCTGCAACGCTATACCAAACGCTACGCATACGTGCAACGCCATCCGCAATGCGACAGCGCGTGCAAGACACAACCAAGGAGAGTTCCTTCACTACGGAGATCTTGCCTATGCAGCCCACAAGACCAACATTATGAACATAACGTCCCACGAACACATGATGAAAGTCACGGAGAAGATCAAGATGCACTATGAAAATACACTCGGGCGGACCCGGAAGGATTTCAAACAAATCTGTCTCCCGGAGAAGCTTTCTTCGCTGTTATGGAGCAAAACTGTGGRGTACGAGAAGCAAATYTTCGGGGACGGAGCACAGGCACGTCTTGCGGATCTGAMGTCCGATTTCGAACGCCAGAGCGCTTCCGCCTTGTGTGTCGTGGACATCAACGCAACAATGCAGGAGGAAGAATGGCTGTCATTTTCGAAAACACTGCGATRATATGCAATGGTCTTTCGACTTTGTCTTCTATGCAATGGGCCTATAACTGCCTTTACAATGTTCCAGCTGAATTTTTCGATCTTCCGATAAAGAACAGAGCGAGTCTTCTAGCGTAGGATCCGAAAGGAGTTGTAGCAACTATCTGTGGAAGTGATCGCATCCGCGCGCTAATTGACCTCATACTGTTCATCTCGACTAGACCTTCATCTCGAGTAGACCCACCAAATATGGGTTCGTGTTGTACCAAGTACTAAGTAGAATGAAGAACTAGAATGCTGGTACTGAGAATTTGAACATTACTTCTTCAACCCCCCGGTTTGTTGAACATTTTCTTTGACTGATTTTTTTTCCTTTCTGCTTACGAGTCTGCCTGTGCATGACAGAGGACGCGCATACCAAGGCGAGACTGATGATACTACTACTATTAATGCTATTAGTACTACGACAACTAAAGTACTAGTTCTTACTGCTATTGATGTTGATGTCGCTTTTGCTGTTGCAGTAGTACTACTATTAGTAGTACTAGTATCTTCTTGCAGCAGCAGCATTTCATCAGAACGATCCATGAAAAGTACAAGAAATATAGTGCCTTACAGCATCACCAACAAATCTATTCCTCTCAAGAATTTCAATTTCAACCACCAAATCTTTTGTTCCTAGTACCGTACTAGTAGTAGCTAGTATCAGATACTCTGCATTACGAGTGCGAGGTACGTAACATACGAGTGGACCGTGCTAAACGTACAGTTCTCGTGCCGTTCCCGTTCTCCTAATAAACAGTTTTCGTAATTCGAACTAATCGATTCCATTCGTTTTMGACATGTTGCTCACCATAAATGAACAATATATATCAATACAACGAATACGTCTCAAACCTATTGTGGCAATTAGACTGCTAGAGGAAGAAAGGAACCACCTTAGCCTCGCACTTTACCCTCCATTGGTTGCTTGTCACTGCTGCAGCACGGCGAACACCACGGCAAGAGGACACCACTGGTTTTGAACAGCAATCTACAGACCGGGCAGGGCAAGGCAGGGCAAAGCAACGAAAAAAAAAAACCGCAAAGATGATGCAGGCCTCGTACGCAAACCAGCCCAGCGACGCCAGTGGGATGCCGCCGCAGCATGAATCGCCGAGGTCGATGCTGCAAAGGAATCCGAACGCGAACACAGATGCRAGTTCGGGAGGACACGACGCCGGTGACTACGACTACCCGTTTCCGCCACAATCCTCGTCGTCGTCTTCGTCTGCTTCGTACCTGGGTTCCCTCTGCCGRCGGTGCTGCACCTTTCAGAACTTTTGCTACATCGTGCAGGTCGTAAATTGCGGGCTCGTCTGTGCCCTGATCTACCTTGCGATCCTCGAGTATCCGAAAATAGAAGAACTGGAGGCGCAGGTCGAGCGAGACAAGAAGGAAATCGCTGCCCTCTCGGAGGAAGTTCGAGAAAAACAGGAGGGCCAGATCCAGGACCTCCACAAGGCGGTCCAGAAGGAGCAACAGTTTAATTTCTTGTCCCTRGCGGGCTTCTTCACGCTYCTGACCTGCCTGATTTCCATGTTTCACATGACGACGCACGTGCACAAGATGAACCAGCCGAAGATCCAGCGAAAAATCATCGCCATACTCTGGATGTCGCCCATCTACAGCGTGACGAGCTTCKTGACGCTCATCTTTCCGTCCGTGGAGGGATGGATGGCGATCCTCAAGGACTTTTACGAGTCCTATTGCATCTTCGTCTTTCTGTCCTTTCTGATCGCAGTCCTGGGAGAGGGATCCCGGGAGCGGGCCGTCGGCGTCCTGGCGAAGCACGCGGACCACCTGGGCCGGCCCACCCGTTGCCTTGCGTGTTTTTACGAGCCCCCGCCCGATACCAGCGASCACGCCAAAGCGTAAGTGCTCCTGGCGCGGAATTTTTGTTTTGCCGTAGAAGTGTATGCATCTTCTGGACTCTGACCAAACCTTACTTTTTTGTCCCSAYACATTTGCTTGTTGGACTACTTTGCTTTSGGTTTGGTCAACTTCGTCCKCTTCTCCCCTTAGAAACGCCGTGATGACGCAGTGCCAGATCTATTGTTTACAATTTACGTTGGTAAGACCCCTTACATCAATATATTCTGTTTTTGTCTTGCACCGGAAAAAGAAAGAGGGCGAAGAAAAATACGAGGAGTACAGTGCCGACGGCGAGTTCGGCGATGAACCGTACGGGGATGGTAATTATGATAATGAAAACTTCGATGGCAGCGGTAAAAGCAGCAGTGTGAACAACAGCATYAGCCACAATGCCACGGACCAATTCTCTCCTGCGGATGGTACTGGAASMGAAGACGCACCGACACCTGTGTTCTCTTCGTCGCTGGACGATCCCACGGTCTCTGCCAGTGCAAGCGAAACTGCAGCCGCGGATGAATCGACACGGGAAGAAGGTCCCGGCGGTCGCATGCGAAGGACCTTAAGAAAAACTCACCACAAAAGAGAACAAGACTATGAGCGGTGGCACGACGYTCCATTTGGTGCTGGGAAGAGAGGGCTGAATTCGCTGCTTGGAGACCCAGGAGCTGCCAACAAGCGAAATTCAACCATTAACGGCAGGGTGAATCCGGYCGAGAACACCATCGAGAATAACGACGACGACAGAGCTCCGACAATGGAGTTTCCATTTCCGTCCGTTTCTCCCATCGAAGGAGGAATGGACGTTCCATTCCCCACCTTTGCAACCGGAGATGGCTACCCACCCGTGTCGGCTCCGACAGAGACCCCCCTCACGRACTATGGCACCTTTGAACCCACCGGATTCGCTTCGTTGCTAGCCGATCCCGGATCCGTRAACYACACCGCCCCCTCTGGCATGTACGATTYCAAAAACACCAGCGGCGGCATCGGCCACGAGGTTGCGAACGTGAGTGGCGTCACCAATATCTCTTTGYCCCTTGTTCCAACCATGGCACCCTCGAACGCAAACGAAACAACGTTCGACTCTACAGAGCTCGTCCACCAAACGAAAAACTACCTCAAGAGTCCTAGCTTTGCGGTTGCGATGGTGGTCAATGTGTCCATATTTTTTGCCTTTAGCGGTCTTCTGAAACTCTACCACGCCGTCCAAAAAGATCTCGAGTGGTGCCGGCCCTTTCCAAAGTTCTTGACCATAAAGGCGGTGGTCTTTTTGACCTTTTGGCAGGGCCTGGTAATCACGCTGTGGTTGGTTCTGACCGCATCCCCGGAGGAAAAGGAGGAGGCACTGCTGGAAGCCCGCAAGTACCAAAATCTCTTGATTTGCGTCGAAATGCTGCTGGTCGCCATCTGCCAATGGGTGAGTCGCTGGCAAGTGAATGGATATGTTTGTTGCTACATATAGGCTTTAGATTGCATTCCATATACTGCTGCACTCGGTTGCTTAAGTTCCGGTATCGAGAGCAAAGACAATTGATTTATTCGTTGTCGCTKTGGCTTCCTTGCTTTGAAGACTATATTTTCCTCCCGGATGGATTCTTCACTCATTGTTTTTGTTTCTTCTTGGTCCCTATGTCAAACAACTACACTCGGATACCTTTTTGCAGTGTGTTTTTCCCGCAATAGGTAAGTTGCTTGTTGTTGTTTTCGATGGATTACCGGGACACGTCGGTATTGATGCCTGCATACACATGTTGAATGTTTCTCATCTGCTTCTTCGTGAAATTATTTCTGTCTCTGCTTTCTTTTCTTTGCGTTCGTCATTGGGTTTTGTGTACAACCATTTGGCTTTGTCTCCGTTCAAACCAGAATGGGAGCCGGGCTACGAACCCCGCCAGGTCCACACGCCGGGACTCGGGATCAAAGATTTTGTGTCGGACGTTGGCCAAATCGTAAACAATCGCAGCAAACGGACCCGGATAAAGCTTGGAAAGAGAAGGAGTCGTCGCAAGAAATACGAAGGCCTAGATGTCCAGGGAGACAACGTATACAGCAATGGGGTCGATAMCTTTCGCGACGATGCCATCGGCAGCAGCAGCTTTGAGAGCGACAGCGAYGACGAGGTTGACGATGTCTCCATGGATGACGAWTATGAATATGGAGGAGGSACACAAGCATTGGGGTATGGCAGCAATTACAGTGATAGATACAATGACGCCAATCACAACGGACCTTTAGATCGGAACAACGTCGTGGTTGATACCCAGCCATTTCCACCTGGTGATCGACGGACAGCACCAGCTCAACACGSAACAGTAGATGAAGATACAGCAGATGAAGAARCCTTAGATGGTGATAAGGAACTTATTTGATCCACTTCGTCGGTATAAATATAACATAGAGTATAATTTTCTTCTTTGTTGTTGACAACCAACTCTATTCTAGTTAGTGTGTAAGTTAAGAACATTGGATATACGTTTAGTGCCATCAATCGGCTCGGTGATSATAGATCATCTCGCACCGTACCAACTTCGTACGGAGGGCGCCTGCAATGCACTTTTTTCGTTCTTTCTCGAGGCTTGCTCCATCACGCAGTTTTGTGTGTTCAATAGACGGCAATATGTTGTTTATTTGAACAAGGCCTTGAATCGATCGCTGAAGCTACCCATGACGGCGCCGTTCTTCATCTTGTCGACATCGGGGACCAACAAATCTTCGGCCTTCTCGGTGGGTCGGAATCCTTCGGGGAACATGTCGTCCTGCGCAATCAATTCGCACTCGGTGGGTGAGGAGCAGTAGACCTCCTGGACAATTTCGTTGAACTTGACCCAGCGGTTTTCGGCGGCAGACTTGTCGGCGGCAATGGCCATGATGAGGGCGATCAAACCATCGGTACCGGTGCAGGGAACGGGCTTGTCGTTGACCAGAGAATCGCAGAAGGCGATGGTTTCCGTTACGTAGGCTTCRTTGTATCGGGACAAGAAGAAGTCGAAGGGCATATCGGCGTTACCGGTGTAATCCTGCTTGTAGATCTTGGCGGTGTTGGGGTAGACGTTGTCGGTTTGGATCATACCCTTGGTTCCCAAGACCTCGGCACGCTGATCGTATCCGAAGGAGGACTGACGGCATACATCGATCATGGCCTGGACACCGTTGGGGTATCGGACGATGCAYGAGGCGGTRTCGTATTTCTCGGAACCATCGAATTCAGCGATGGACATATCGATGTGGGTGGATCCGATGGCAAGGATGTCAACGGGATCGGAACCGGCCAAGAATCTCGTCATATCGAGATCGTGGACGGCCATGTCGGCGAAGATGCCACCGCCGCCCTTGACGTACGAGGCGGGTGGGGGTGCAGGGTCACGGGAGCACAGTTTGATCTAACCCATTCCATTTCGATCCGGAAAAACCCACAACAGAGAGACGCGAGAGCAAAAACGATGCAAGAACGTGATCAGAACGATCAGAGACGGCATGTATCCATCCGTAYATCCATTCAGTGTTTTGGACACAAAAAACAACCTAGAAARAACCTACCATGATGGGCTCTCCGACTTCCTTGGCRGCAACAGCTTGCTTGACACGCTCGAAGTTCTGGTCGAATCGTCGCTGAAGACCAATCATGAGCTTGACTCCGGCTTCGTTACAGGCATTGATCGCCTCGACGGTCTCGGCGAGGTCGGTGGCAATCGGCTTTTCGCAAAAGACGTGTTTGTTGGCGGCGGCGCAGGCCTTGATCTGGTCGGCGTGGAACTGGGACGGAGAGCAGATCCAAACTGCATCGACCTCGGGGTCGTTGATGACGTCCATGGCATCGTCGGTGAATTTGGGAATGTTGTACTGGTTGGCGGCGGCCTCGGCCTTGGAAACGGTGGGGTTGGAGACGATGACGGGAACGACACCGGGGGCCTTGGTGATGGCCTCCAAGTGGACGAGACCGATGCGGCCCATACCGATGACACCAACCTTGACCGTCTTTTGGTCGTCGTTGGTTTCCACGTTCATGGAGAGCGACGATCGGCTGGCGCTKGTCTTCACTCCGAAGGAGCTCTTCGGGGTGAAGGAGGAAAAGGCGACGGCATTTTCGGTTTGGACCAGGAGGGAGGCTCCGAGGGACAGAATGGCGACGATGAACTTCATCTTTTACAGAAATTGGAGTGGTATATTCTATCAGGACCGAGAATATGGAACAGCGGGTGTCGTCGGTGCCGATGGGAGATTCAAACAAACTGCTGRACGAAATYGAGAAGAACGAATATTGAGCTACGATCGACTAGATACCTCGTACCTCTTGTGCTGCTGCCACGGGACGATCCGTACTCGTACCGGTTGAGGAACAAGAGAGCACGCCGTGACAGGCGTGAGAGAACACGAGGAAGAAAATCGAGACGGCGACGTATCGTCGTTGCTACGGTGGGCCGCATGCCCAAAAAAAGACATGCACTACGATCCATTCGATTCGCTGAAACACTGACATCTTACATACCTATTCGAACGCTTGTTTTGCATTTGTGCCGAGACGAGATTGCTTAGTGATTGTCGATGGCGGCTCTCACGTCATCGTTTTGAACCGGCAAGATTTTGGGGGAAGTATCCCAATGGCGTCCGCCAATAATTGTGTAGCATCTGTTGGCGTGATTCGCTACTTACGTCAGCATGTTTCATACCTGTAATGTCCAGTATGAATCTCGCTTGAACAAATGAGAAACTGATACCAGTATGAAATTAACGTGAGTCTACGTATTTTTGTGAATTGSTTGTCCACATACGGAAATCTCTATTGCCCTTATTACTTCCATACATCCAGCTCTTTGATTTGGGAATCGCATACCCCTCTTACCAAGTGTSTGGGGGGACGGACATGGAGATCGGACATAGATTTGATTGGATAATCTTCAACCATTGAAAACGGATCCGTTCGACTAAACAAAGAAAAAATTAATGGCGCGAACATCGTTGTGCAAACTGTAAACTGTAAAACCATAAACCATAGTCTTCTGTACTGGTACGTACCTACGTAGCTACGTATATCTATTACTCGTATTCCCGGTCCGGTACAACGTGATGGAAGATGAAGGCAGGACATTCGAAGGTGCACTGCAGGCAAGAAATTCTTTCTGGAGTGCTCGAAAACTACTCCATTGATGCAGTATTGAATAATATGCATTGCTTCTGATGGGAGTTCGGCAGTAGTCCGAACCAACACCGACCCTGCAAGTTCTTTGCCATCATGTTAGAWGAACAAAACGGTCGAATTCATTCTTGACGGCACGTGGAGCAACTTTCAGAAGCCGACGATCAAGTACCGGTACGGCTAGCCTAGTAGCTGTTGTGGCATGAGGACGATGAGCCTGCGAACTGACTACTATTAGTAACAAGAAGTATGTGGAGAAAGGTCATCTTTATAGTTTTGATTTGGTTCTTTGGACTTTTCGGGGTAGCAGTTTGTATGCGAGTTTTCATCCCACGAAACCATGACAACTCAAAATGGTTTAGCAAAGTAGTACTATGGTGCAATGCAGAACAAGAGCTGGCCAGCCTGTGGATGKACGAGAAAGATGCGGTTGCTTCCATTGTTTCCTGCAGTCCGCCGAGTTTGATGCATTTGATTCCGTACACATGGCATCCTTCCAACCTAGCAGTCATAAAGTTCTTATCGGTATTTGCATATACTCTTTGGATGGGTTGGGTTGGGTTGGGTTGTGTTCGATCTGACGCTTCTTGCCTCGGTGGGGGTTGTCTGCCTTGGTTTTGCTTTTTGGCACCGCGTGGCGTGTCGGAACCAACGCGGCGGATCTTTGTTGCGTTTCGGTCACCACCGCTAACTTTCGTTTCGCGTCGTTTCGCGTCTCACCACCCCTTTCGATCGATCGATCGCAAAACCTCCTCCAGGATCTTTTCCCGGGTTTTCTTGGTGAGCTTGTGCACCTCGACGCCGTCCTCCGCGGCAACCTCGTCGCAGAATGGGACCCGGTGCCCGTAGATCGGGGCCGTGATGGCCCCGATGAGCCGGTTCTTCCCCGGGCCRTCCAGGAGTTCCCGGACCCGGGCCTGGAAGGCCGCCGAGTGGAGCTCCATCCGGCCGATCTCGTCCAGCACCAGGATGGTGTCGCTGTCGTTCTCGTCGGTATTCTCTTYACCGTTCTTGCCGTTGTCGTTTTCACATCCTGTGCCGGAGGGCAGTGGTGGGTGCGGGTTGCTCTCGKAGTCCCTCGCTCGCTTCTTCCCGGAAGAGGAGGAGGGCGCTTGTGTTTGGCCCGGCGCTGGCTTCGCCCTAGCTCGGTCCAGGCCGGGGAGCGCAACCGCCTCGAAGGATTCCACGTCCACGAGGTATTTCCCCGTCTTGTGCTGTCTTTGCTTCGGGCCGGCGCCCGGCCGAAACGTCGCTGCCGTCCGCGCCAGGACCCCCCGCTCCCCCCGGGGGACCCGGACCGCGTCGAAGCCGGTCCGCTTGCCGGTGGARGGGTCCAGGACCTCGTCGGTGTAGAACCCCCTGCAGGTGCGGCCCCGGGCTTCCAGGGCCTCCACGACGGCCTTGACCGCCGTGGTCTTGCCGCACCCGGGCTGGCCCGTGAAAAGGATCCACTCCCGCCGCGGGCCGTGTTTCGGGGGGGGTCCGGTCCCGTTTCGTTTTGGCATGACGCGTCGGAAGGAGCGGGCGCTGTGTTTTGTTTGGGTTCTGCTTCGCCGCTGAAAGACTTTTGTCGCAGAACTTGGATTCAATTCAGCGCAACGCCAGAGTGTGAAAGCYGTGGTTGAATGGTGAACCCTTTCCGATCTTCCTTCGTTCCTTCGAAAATCGAACCTTCGAAACTCGAAGGTGATTCATTCAAGATTGTAATCGTATTCAGTCATTCAGCAAGTTTTTCGTTCCAACCCAAAAACATCATACAGTAAACTAGTGGGGTGAGTCAGTCAATCGGCGGTTCTTGGGTTTTTGTTGCATTYCTGTTTCCTATTTTTTTCTCYATGATTCCTCCGGAGAAACGCTGCGGTAAAGGAGCGTTGGAGCATACGGAATGTAGTGCTGAAAGGTACGTATGGTACGCTCGATTGGTCTGCTTCGGTGGCAGTGGAAGTCGAAGGCACTGTATTAGGAATCAGTGTTCAATATTCAATAATAACCTTCACCCTAAGATATATATTTTGTACTTATTTTCATGCCCAGAGGTTTTTGATTTTATTTCGATCTGATAACATCATGATACCAGTATTTTCTGTAGATTCTTCGGTAGTTCAATTTGAAAATAATTTTGTTCATATGAAGCATTCTAAGCCGCACAACTTTCCTTATTGATCGGTGAGTGTTGATTGGTGAGTGCTGTTGATTGGTGAGTGTTGATCAGTGAGTGTTGATCGCCGGTTAGTGTTGATCGCCGGTTAGTGTTGATCGCCGGTTAGTGTTGATTGCCGGTTAGTGTTGGTCGGTTAGTGTTGATCAGTTAGTGTTAATCAGTTAGTAGTAGTAGTGTTGATCAGTTAGTATTGATCAGTTAGTGTTAGTAACCAGTGAGTGYTAATCAGTGAGTGTTGATCACTGAGTGTAGATTGGTGAGTGTGGATTGGTGAGTGTTGATCACTGAGTGTTCATCGCTGAGTGTTGATCACTGAGTGTTGATCACTGAGTGTTGATTGGTGGTGAGTGTATATGATCAGTGAGTGGTGTGAATGATTGGTGAGTGTTGATTGGTGAGTGTATACGATCRGTGAGTGTTGATTGGTTAGTGTTGATCACTGAGTGTTGACTGGTGAGTGTGGATYSSTGAGTGTGGATCCCTGAGTGTTGATTGCTGAGTGTTCATCGCTGAGTGTTGATCACTGAGTGTTGATTGGTGAGTGTTGATTGAAGTGTGTACAATTGCTGAGTGTGGATCACTGAGTGTTTATCTACTATGAGTGTGGATTGGCGGGTGTGTATGATAGGTGACTGTGTGTCAGTGATTGTTTATCAGTAAGGTGCTTGTTTATCACTGAGCATTTATCAGTGAGTGTGTAGTATTGGTGAGTGTTTATTAGTGAGTTTTTATTGGTGAGGTGCTTGTTTATCAGTGTGGTGCTTATGTATTGGTGCCTTGTTTATTGGTTGGTGTAGTTGCTCTGATCKACTGTTGCCACAGTACTGAAGCTGCAGTAATGATACTGTTGAGATYATTACATTTGGCCAGCCRCATGCCTCTTTAGAATACATCCCTTAACCAGTATCAAATGTACATAAGTGATTGTTTAGTGGTGAGTGTGTATCAGTGAGTGTGTCAGTGAGTCAGTGAGTGTTTATCTGTGTGGTGCTTATGTATTTGTGCAGTGATTGTTGTATTGATTGCATTGGTTGTTGTAT